ATATAAGCAAACCTCTAAGTTTATTTTACTTAAAATCACCCATATTACACATTTTAATTTTTTAAGATAATTTTAAATGAGATAATTACAAGTAGGGAGAAAACAAATATAAATAACAGATATATTATTTATATTTATGTTATTATTTATATTATTTATATTTATGTTATATATATGTTATTTATACCTAAAGCCTTTCCTCTCATAACTGATACAAAACAAAAGAAAACCTACTTTCACCCCTCCTATTCTACATAGCAGTAGAAGTCCTAGCCAGAGCAAACAGGAGAAAAAAAAGGAAAAGAGAAGAAAAGAAATAAAAGGCATCCAGATTGGAAAAGAAGTCAAATTGTCCCTCTTTGCAGATGAGATGATCTTATATTCTGAAAAATGTATATTTTGGCCTCACACAGTGGATCACACCTGCAATCCTAGCAGGTGGGAGGTTGAGGCAGGAGGATCACTTGATGCCAGGAGTTCAAGAACAACCTGGGTAATATAGTGATACTGTGTCTCTTACATGTTAAAAAAAAAAAAAAAAAAAAAAAAAAAAAAGAAAAACCTAAAGACTCTACCAAAGTGGATTTAGATTTGATAAATTCAGTAAAGTTGCAGGATACAAAATCAACATACAAAAAGAAGTGGCATTTCTACACACCAATAATAAACCATTAAAAAAGAGATCAAGAAGGTGATCTCATTTACAGTATCTCAAAAAATAAAATAAAATATCTAGGAACAAATTTAACCAAGGAGGTGAAAGACCTCTACAAGGAAAACAGCAAAACCCTGATGAAAGAATTGAACAAATGCAAAGCCACACCATGTTAACGGATTGGAAAACTTAATTGTTAAAATGATCATACTACCCAGAGCAATCTACAGGTTCAATGCAATCCCTATCAAATTACCAATGTCATTTCTCACAGAATTTGAAAAACAATTGTGCAGCTAATCTAAGCACAACAGTTTTGGCATCCATTGAGTGGAAAATTTGTTCAACTTTAATTTTTCTGTCAGACTTGTATAAGCTGAACCAGTTGAGATGTCTGTGGTTTTGGCTATTGTTCTGCCATTAATTGTTGGTCTTTCTTAATTAAGGCCAGAACAAGATGATTTTTTTCCCTCAAAAATTGATGTGGATGATCTGCTACTGAAGGCTTCATCTTCAACATCTTGTCTCTTCTTCAATTGACTTATTTATTTGTAAGCTGCTGATTTCTTTGGACATTGTTTCCCATAAACTTTTTGTGAAGCATCAGTAATTTCATCATTCTTCCACTCAAGCTTTACCCTAAGTTTGATGTTTGTCTTTGCTTCAATTTTAGCAGAATTCATGTTGCTCTGATAGGAGTCCTTTTCAAACTGATATCTTAGCCTTCTTAATGCCTCAAACTAGAGTCTATTTAGATATGTTATAACAAGAGTTGATGAGTTTATGTGAATTTATGAGTTATGAGATTATTAATTTATTTTGGTGTAAAAAATTTTTAATCCATGCATATTTTTTCATAATATGCATTTTCTGTGAACCTTTTGAAGACCCATACTACTGATTGTTTCTCCAGAGAACCCTAACTAAGACACAAGGCTTAGCGATTTTTGCCCTAGATGAATAAAGCTGACCATAAGACAGAGTTCTCAGTCTCTTTCCAAAAACACCTGACTTCATTTTCAACAGGGTGTGGAAAAGTTTAAGCATAAGGACACTATACAAAAGCATAGAGGTTGTGATAAAGAGCAATTGAGAGAAAATGATAGGTATATGAGAGATACAAGCTAAACTGTAGGTCAGCAAGTTTGCTGGACAGGACCTGGAACATAGACAGCTGGGAGGAGCCCATCTGGATTTAGCACCAATGTCAAACAATGACCTCAGGAACTATTACTTTAAAAGATCCCAAATTGGATTGGCCCAATATGTGAAGTGATACTTGCCCACAGGATATTTTTTTAATAAATAAAGACATCGGCCTGCAAGTAGTGGAGCTAAATAATTGGGTGTGGTCATGGAAAGAAAGAGTGAAAGGCAGTCCTGATTAAACCACTGTCATTCCACATCCAGAAGCTCAGTTAACTCAAGGTAGAATAAATGCAAATTGATATATGATCAGGCATGTCATAGTAAAAATACTGAAAGATAAAGACTAATGGAGTATCTTGAAAGCAGCAAAAGAAAAACTACTCTTCACTTACAAAGGAACCCCGATAAGATTAACATCTGACTTCTCACTAAAAACATTGTAGACTGGAAGACAGTGGAAAGTATATTCAAAGTGCTTAAAGGGAAAAAAGAAAAACACAAAACAAAACACATCCACAAAGAATCTTGTATTCTTCAAAAAATAAGATGAAATAAAGGTATCAGGAGACAGACTAAAACTCACAGACGTGCCTTACAAGAAATACTAAGTGATCCCAGCCCAACCATATCAAAAAACAGTTTCAGTAAGGTAATTATAAAAGACAATATAAATGCATATTTTTTCCCTTCAAACTGACTTAAAAGGCAATTACATAAAACAATATGTATATAATGTACTTTTAGGCCTATAACATATAGAGTTCTAATATATTTACCAATAGCAATACAAAGGAGGTGTGGGAACAAAGCTGTATTGGACTATGGAAATGACTTCAGATAGTAATTCAAGTCAATAGGAACAAAAGAAAAGATCCAGAAATGATAAAGAAAATGTTAATGTAAAAAAGTAATATATATACACTTGGTCTCCTTTCTTCTCTCAGCTTCTTTAAAAGATAAAAATTATATAAACTAAAATTATAAATATAATGTAATGTTGAGTTTGTAACATTTATATTAATAGATGTAATATGTATAAAAATAATATCACAATAAGGGAAAAAGCTATGTAGATATGAGATTTCTATATATCACTGGCACAAAATTAATATCAATCTAAAGCTAATTCTGATATGTTAAAATATTTATGGTAAACCCTAAAACAATCTCTAAGGCATATAGTTGATTTTCATAATTCATTGTAGTTATGGACTATAAAACCTCTGCTAACATTGAGTTGCAAACCATGAATGAATTAATGACCTCTAATCACAACACTTTTGTTAACTGATCATTATATTACCTTGTTTTATTGTTGCTCTTTAAAGATATCTGATTATTAACAATGAACTTAGGGCAAACAGCACTGCAACTCATGCTGAATAAATCTTATCTAACACATGTATTTTCTCCATAAGGGCTATCACAGTCCTCTTTAACTTAGGAACACTAGACAGTTGGCATCGCACTTGGGGAGCCATTTTTAAAAGTGAAGTCAACAAGAAAAATCACAAAAATGCAAAAGCCATGGCTCTAAGCAGAGCATGAAAACAACATGTGTCTACAGTATGACCATGAACACATTAAGACACAGCATCACCTGCTCAGCCTCAGCTGGAAGCGTGCACATCTGGAGACAAAGTTTTCACCTCTCTGCACATGCACATGTCTAAAAATGACCACAGATGTGCCATGCATATTTATTTTGGGGTTGTAAATACATTTTTGCAGTAGGTGAATTCACAACTATAGAAACCACAAATAAAGACGATCAACTGTAACTTTAAAAAATACCTGATGACTTGGGTGATTTTCCTTGACAAGTAACTTTCAGCCACTCTCTGCAGTCTCCATTCCAACATATCCACTTGCTCATTTCCATCCACATTATAGATTCCTTGCCTGTGATTTTTAGTTTTTTCGTGTGTTTTTATTGGGGATCTTAGTCTAGTTTACATATTGTCATGTTAAATAGAGGTATAAATGCTTGCTAAGTACTAACCACATTTAATGTTAGAGATAATAAAATATTATTTTCTTAGAAAAAATAGATCCTAAGGAATATTAAATATTGATTGTATTATATATTTTATATAACTATAATATGCAAATGTGTATAAAAATATGCATGTGTTTAATTATTGTGTTTATAAAAACATTAATCAGCAAAATAGCCGTGAAAAAGCTAGTTATATCCTGTGAAAATTCTACATTTGGAGAAGAGAAATTAAAGCATAGTCAAAAGGTTATGAATTCATTATATCATATGATAGATATAATATCATAGGTTGTCATAAAAGAGGATATTAATTTGCTGTTTACTATGCTAGTTAATCCTGTCTTCTTTCTGTTAACAGTATGGATCTAGAAATAAGAAATCTTATAAATGAGAAGAAAAAATTCAGCCCCTTGAAAAGTAGATTTTTAAAAATTAACTCATTGAATATTATTGCAACGTTGTGTTTGCAGAGTTGTTGAGGAAATATACATTTGTTGCTGTTGACTGTGGAGAAAATTAAAGATGCACAAGTTGCAGCAGAACTTGTACCAATTAGTCAACATCCAAAATACATAAAGCTAGTAGATATTTATTAATTGCCCAATAAATAGAGTTGTTAACCTGGGTGCATCAATCTTGGATGGGCTTTGGTGGGAGAAGTGGTATATGGGTCTGTGAACACTATGAGCATTTTTCTGGAGAACAAGTCTGTTGCTCTAAAATGTAACTTTTGGAGCAATGGACTTGCTCTCCAGTCACTTTGTTGACAGACACGTGTCAGTTACCTCAGGACCATAGGCCTACAGGAAATTTGCATGATGGGTGAGAATTAAGAGAGGGGAGCTATTAAATACAACCAATATTCCACAGATATTTAATGAGAATCGTCTGTATACCACAACTGCTATTATTTGCCAGGTATATACTTTTAATAAAAGCGCAAAGTCCATAGAACCCTTCTACATAATATGTAGATCATTTCAAAATGCAGCAAATAATATAGTCTGTGACCAGAGTTAAGGGCATAATAGAAGACATTTTGTTTTGTTCTTTACTGTTTTTGGCTAAAGTCAATTTAAAATGATTACAAATATTCAATGGAAATCCATGTAAGACTGTGATGACTTATTTTGTTTCAGCACTCCAACATATAGCATACATACTATATACTAAGTTAAAAATATTTTTTCTTTCAAGGTAACTGAACTGCACAATATCAAAAATATAACCAGACTGCCCCGAGAGACAAAGAAGCATGCGGTGGCAATTATCTTTCACGATGAAACGTCGAAGACATTTGCCTGTGAGTCAGGTAAGCTATTATTGGCCATCTACCCCTTGAGGAAATTGAGCTGCTTATGAGACAATGGTCCAGGTGGATTAAGAAACACTATTGAACAGGATGGCCTCCTGTAATGAGAATGTGCTGTAGAAGACTTCATTCAGAAGCTCAACATGTTGATTTCCACTGATGTTTTGGTGCCTGTTGTTACATGTCTGTGTCTGGATTTGGCTCCCAGGTGGTCTGCCTGTTGGAGTTTCCATTCAAGTTTTGAGAATTAAGTAAACAATACCTGGCAGGTATTGTTCGGGTGTATGACCAATATTCTGGTTCTTGCCCAGTGTGTCTCTAGGCATTTGGTAGGGCAGGAATCAGGGTGCTGTGCAAAAGCATGGCAGAGCAAAGCCCCAGTCCTGAGACAGCACAAAACAGAACTTTGAGCTATTTGTTGCTTTCATGGATTGTCAGTACTGCGAGTAAATACATTTCAGATTGAATTTTAGCATCTCAGTTCATAAAGCACTCTGACATTATTGAGACACAAGGCAGTTTATAGTTTGAACTTGCAGTATTTTTCATATCGGAATCCCTGTGGTGTGTAATATATTAGTTGGCTTATCACTTTTTAAAGATTTTGCTCAATGCACTGGTGCATTTGTTTTATAATGGATGTTAGCAGAAAGTACCAAGGGTTTGCAAGATGTGAACTTAAACTAATGATTAGGTCTTTAGGAGAAATTTTATTCAGTATTTTTAAAAAGTAAAATGGTCCTTCTAGTTTTGTATACTTTGTTTATGGATGTCGTTAATACCAGGTTATATTATTCTAAAACCGATAATGTCCCTTTGCCTAACTGAAATTGCTCACACCTCTCACCGACCTTATCTTAGTATGGCTAAACTGCACTGGAATTTATCTCAGTGTTCCTCTCTTCTTGCATGCCTTTATCCATCTGTCCTGACATATTTCTCTTCACTTGCAATCTGACCTCATTTCATCATTTAAAATCAACATTTTGGAGTTGCACAGAAGCCTGTTAATTGATATAAATTCCCATTTTGTAATACACCCTGTCCCAGCCTTGCTGGTATAATATAGTATCATCCAATGATTTTTCTGCCTTCCTGTCCACTATCTTAAAACTGGTAAACCACTTTATTTTCCTCTGGGCTCTTAATCTCTCATATTAAAACTGGTATTTAAAATAACTAAAAGGTAACGTTTAAGTTTCTAATTTTCCCAATTACTTTACATTTTCAAATTGTAGTGAGCAATATTGTAAATGTATAGGAAATACTGGAGCCTATTAATTTGTTAAAGAATGATATTTGGTTATATTTCTTTATGTGAAAATCTTATTTATGTTGTGTTTGGAAAGATATTGACCTAAAATTCATGTTCAGTTAATAACTTAATCATTCAATATATTGTTCCTTTCCATCTGATTATAATCTTGAATCCCATATTACAGTAGAAAATCATTTAATGCAATTTTATGTATTTATACAGATGGCTTTTCTGATTTACACCATTATAATCTACTCTCCATTTAAATTTCTGTTGGTTTTAAAATAAACTAGGCTTGAGAATATTATAAAGCCTGCAAGATTATACCTTTTCAAATTTCTATATTCTTGGAAGTTAGAGTAAATATATATTCCTAAAATTTTGTCTAAATATCTTTGCTTCTCCATGACACTTTTCTACCTCATTTATCCTGGTGTCACCTGAATGTCCTTGCCCTCATAGATCACAGAATATATACCAATGGCCCAATTGAAAGCAAAGCTTTGCTTTACATCCTGATACTTAAGAGCATTTTAATAGAAAAGGTGTATTATTTTAATAGAAAAGGTGTATTATTTTAATAGAAAAGGTGTATTATTTTAATAGAAAAGGTGTATTATTTTAATAGAAAAGGTGTATTATTTGAACAGTACATTTGAGTTCTGTGTCCCATCATCTCAAGTTCTTAGTTTATAAATGTCAGTCTGTATAACATATTGATATTATTCATTCAGAAACTCATATAAACATAATTGAAATTCAGCAGTACTTGTGTTTATATACTATCTGGAAATTTTGAAGTATGATTTGTTGAGCATTGTTGGTCTATGCACAACCGAGGACCAGGGTGTTCCAGACAGTAAGTGTGGTAACAGAGCAGTGCCCTACTCCTGACCAGGTGCTACAGTCAGAGCCCCTCATCATTACACAAGCCTCTGTGCAAACAAAACATTCTCCCCACTGGGTTGCCTTAACAAAAGCATTTAAACTTTTATTTAAAGGCCATAAAGATTTAGAATTTTAAAATAAAACTCCCAAGTACATCTAGCATCCAGATCTTTCTTGGTTTTTAGTAACAGGAACCAGTGTTTCTTGGAGAAATGGTAGATTCTAGAACTGGGGCATGAAATACACGAGATGAACCCAGAGCATCTTGTAGCATCTTGTAGTGCCAGAAAGGAAGGAAGCACCGCAAAAACGCTGCTGTATGTCTGAGGGACACAGGAGATCCCAATGGCCAAAGATGGAACAATTTGAGTGATAAAGTAGCAAAGGATTATAACCCAAATTATAAATGAACATTTATGAGTCCATGCTTTAGCAATGACTGATGAATAAATACATAGGAGAGTACAGAAAAATATCCCATGCAGAAAATTACAAATAATTTATGCAGATGCTGTATCCACAGGAGGTGGAGCATGACTCCCTGTGCCTTAAGCGGGGGCTGTTCATAGTGACTTCGTCTCTAGGAGAATAGGATAGAAAGGGACGGGAGAAAACAACTTTATGGTGGAGAAAACTGACAGACACTGCCTCAGCCAGGTGACCAAAGTGAAGATCAACAATGATAAATCATGTTGATAGAATCTACCCTTGATATGATGTGATCAAAAATAACACTTTACCTCTGTGGTCTTCATCCTAACAACCTATAAACCCATGAGAATAACATCAGACACATCCTGATGAAGGAATGGATATTTGTATTTGTATTCCACAAATACCTGCCCAGGATGGATCAAAACTTTCAAGGTCATTACAAACAAGGAAAGCCTGGAAAACTGTCCCAACCAAGAGGGAGCTAAGAAGGCATGATGAATACATGTAATATGGTATCTTGATGAGATCTTGAAACCAAAAGAGGACACTAAGTAAAAACTAAGGAAAATTTAATAAATTGTGGTGATTAGTTAGTAAAAATTTATCAATACTAATTCATGAATTTTAACAAATGTACCATACTAATGTAAGATGTTACTAATAGGAGAGGATAGATATAGGCTATATAGGAACTCAGTATTACTTTTGCAATATTCTTTAAATCTAAAACTGTACCAAAATGAGATGTTTTTTGTTTAAAAAATAATGTGGAAGTGAATAAAAATATATCAATGAACTAGAGTAGATTCAAGTATAATAGAAATCTAGTGCATTATCAAGGATATATTAAAAATTAGTAAAGAAAAATTATATCTTACAATAACTGCTGTTTGAAGAACTAAATTCTTACACCATCCTATTATAGAATGCTTTCAGAATGATGAAGTGATATTCATTATTTCTTAACGGAAATGACAATACTAAAATCATTGCCACTGTTCAGTGGCTTGAGAGGAAATGTTAGATGTTGACCTAGTGTCATGAACAATAATGAAGAACCAGACTTAAAGTTGTATTGTGAGGGTCTCATCTTTCAATATAGGTGATTCAGCAGAAGGCTGAGCCTACCACATGTTCTTTTAGTGAACTGAGCACTCCCCCTTCAGAGTCATTTTAGAATACTGTTTTATTGCTAAATTTGAAATAATTATCAAGGCCCTACTTGGTTTTCTCTGAAATGCTACTGTGTGAGCTTACCACACATCTGTAGGACAAATGGAAAGGTTACAAGATGGCAAAAACCTATCCCTGAGGCCCTAACCCTTATTCTGCCATCCTGCCTTAGAGTGCCCTGTGGACATTTGTTACCAGTCTATACATCATGTAAAACCTATACCAGAATCTGCTCATCACAGCTACTGCTACCATATTAGTCTCTTCCATAGATATCTAGATACCCTAAAATATAGACATCTGTAGAAAGCTGTACTCCGTTCTTGTTGAGTCAGAAAGCTGAAATTAAAATGCATGTATTTGTGAAGCATAACTTTAGGGAAACTATTTTGAATATGTAGTTATTATACAATTTATTCTCACTAAAAACATTTATCAAGAAATAGGATCATAATTTTATTTTAACTACGATAATTTCAAAATATAAGCATCAAATTAGGGTCATTAATAGCATTCTTAATGGAAAATGACAAGTAGTGGTCTCAATAAATCACAGTGAGAATTCCAATCCATAATTTAAACTGAACACTGCAATTATTTTTAATATAAACAGATACTTTCTGTATTTCTAACTTTGAACTTTCCCATTATCAATTACCAGTGGGGAGAAATGGCTTATTTGGCATACTAATTAAGGAACTAGGATTAGTATAACCCCAAAAGACAAGGTTCTATTCTGTTTTTTAAAAATTTTTGAACACACAGAATCCTCTTGCTAACAAAGACTGTTTCTTCTCATGTCTGAATTTCACACGCGAAAGTCTGAAATGTGAAGGGTTCTTAATGTTGGTTTTATGGTTCGTGTAAGATTTTTGGGAAATGTAGGGCTCTTCATTAGGATAAAATGTTCTTAACTTCCCAAAGAAGAATTTCCTGACAACGTGGCTGAAGTTAGATACAAATGTTAGTATAGAAGAATGCTTTTATTTGAATTTCTAACAAATGGTTTTCAACTACTTTAAATATGACCAACTTGAAAGTATTATTTCTTTTTTAAAACTACGTTTTATGTATAGATCTAAGTCTGCTTGAAAGTAGTAGTTGAAGTGTTTGAGAAATAATGGCAAGATTTTTTTTAATTGTCTCAACTTCATGACACATGCTGATCGGGATAAAAAAGAACGTGAAAATCATAAACAAGAAAGTTTATTACTTTGTAATGAAAATTATTTTTAGATAAATGTTA